ACAAACAAAGTTAGTTTGTTAATATACGAAATAAAAATTATACATCAAGAAATATATATTGGACATTACTTAGATTGTCAGAAGTAGGGGTGTACTAGTTTTTTTTGGTATTGTAATGCACAATTATAAATAGCTAGTTATCCCAACTGTGATTGCTATGAATCCAAATGCGTATCCACATTAGTTTCTCAATGGGGATGTCAATGTGATTTGTAAATATAGGCAGCAAATATATAAGAGTCCTGTCATCGTGACAGAGAATAATTAAGAAGGAGAAGTATATGTGTGTAGTAATGTGTTTAAGAGCGATAATCAGAGATGCTCAAAACCAGAACGGAAAGTCAAAGGTCAAGTTATATTTTTAAACAGCAATTTTATAAGTATAGGGTTGTGGAGATTGTTGAGCTTATATTGATATCATGAATGGATGGATATTAGACCACCATGGAAAACATGAAAACACTGGACGGCAAATTTACACTATTTTGGGACTCCTCAGTAGTACACATCCCCGATCCCATCTCGTGAGATTCGAACCCTGGACTTATCAGTCTCGCGCACGAGCGCCTAACCATTAGACCACCAGGCATGTCTAACTTCAACCAATCCACGAAGTTCAGCAACCATTCACCAATGTCTTCAGTGAGTTGATATCACCCAGGAAATACCTCATGGAGCCAGTCACTAATAAGCATATGATCATTATCAGAAGGGGTTTTTGTGGAGATTTTAGTAGTTTTATATAGCTGAACTCCTGAGTCAATTGAAGCTAGACCACCATGAAAAACCTGGAAGCACTGGACGGCCGTTTCGTCCTATTATGGGAATCCTCAACAGTGCGCTACCACGATCCCTAAAATCTCCACAAAACCCCCTTCTGATTTCGTATTACTGAGTTAGTAAATTACACTACTCTACAAATGGTAATATTAAGTTTATATTTTAAAGTGTGTACAAGTCACTGAAGAAATAAATTTTGATATTGTGCAATATAATGAATCTTTAAAATGATTCATATCATTGGTTACGTAACAAATCCTTTTTATTTCTATTGTACTTAACTGTCGAATAAATAATTGCTTCATGCTCTGAGTAATAACACAGAAACTGTGAAAAACATTTGGTGATTTGTGTAGTTTACATCCATTGATTGATCTAATTTGAACAACTATTGAAAGTCAGAAAGCATTGGACAGCTATTTCATTCAGATACTGCGTGCTCACTTATGACTTATTTCGAGAGATAATCATTGGAATTCTAGTGAGTTTAACTATGTTGAAAGTGAGGGAGTTACTAATTGAAAACCTGAAAGCACTAGACGGCCGTTTCGTCCTAGTATGGGACACCTCAACAGTACTCATCAACTATCCCGCTCTCAGGATAATAGATATTGTTTTAGGAGTGTTTTGCTTAACTAATTATATTTTTCCATTAGGATCATAAATCGATGAATTTTAGACCATCACTGAAAACCTGGACGCGCTGGACTGCCGTTTCGTCTTAGTTATATATCTGTTAAACACTTTATTAGATATTCATGATAAAAATCAAGATATTTTTCTACTTCGGTATAGAATGAACAATAAACAATAGTGTAAATGAAAATAGACTATCTGTCTAGTAAGTAATTCTTTTAATTCTATGTAAAACAATGAAGATGGTTTCATCTATGTTGAGACGGCTTCCGAGAACTAAGATGAAGCCCCCAGAGGCCATAAAGGAGCCAAAAAATTTCTATTCAATCAGAACGTGATGGGACGTTTTAGAATATCAACATGGTATGTTGCTACTGGACAGTAGCATAACATGCCTCTTTACGGATTAGCTGAATTATACTGACGTTATAACAAACGCTAATATCTATAAATACCCATGATTTTCTGTACATTTTGATTCTTGCCCAATAAACACTTCACCAGCTTTCTTCTGTCTTCTAATGTTGCAACTATGGGTGTTCTATAAGTTCAAATACCATAGTTGTATGCCCGTATTCTAAGTTAATCAAGTAGTGAACATAACAATCTATGACATAATATACATAGTATATACATTTTTCCATCTCTCAATGAAAATAATTTACATGCCTATAAACATCTGTTCTAAAGTCTGATTTTAATAATATCAGTTGAAGAAAAAAGAACAATCACTGAATATCCTTTTTATTGATAATGTAAAATTACATTGGAAACAGACAAACGAACAAAACAAGTAGTCAATAACAGAAAAAAATAACAACGTTCCACTCATTTACAACTTGTAAATTAACGCATTGAATAGTTACTTACCGAAATTATTACAACATTGTGCGAATAAATAAAGACGGATAGTGATCAGCAGTGGAAACCAGGATGCGCGTTTCGTCCTATTTGGGACTCGTCAGCTGGATGTATCTGCATCGCCTTATTGCACAGGCGTGTGGCTATCAGGACTCAGTAGCTGAATGGATAACACGATGGCGTTTGAAGCGGAAGGTACTGGTTTCGAGTCCCAGAGTGAACATTACCTTTGAGATGCAGGTACATCCAGCTGACGAGTCCCAAATAGGACGAAGTGACGCGCGTCGTGGATTCCACTGCTAGACACTATCCATCTTGCTTTGAATGCTTGGAAAATAAGGCTATAATGAGGCAATACGCACAGTATGCACATATATCAATAAGTGACTGACCAGTTGCAGTGCTAAACATCAATGGGAAGATTCAAACAAACAATACTAATTGAATTTACACCATAGAATAGTTCATAAATTTCAAAAAAAAGTTTAATGACGTGCTTTTATCTAACAATCAGAACTTTCAAACCGGATTAGTGTTGATCGATAGGATATATGGAATTTATAAATTTCCAAAAGCACATTTACTGAATATATACATTAACTAACCGTTATCACTCTGGTACATCGTGCTTTTTCTTGATTTCATACTATTCTACTTCAATTATTCATCATCATAAAAGAAGCACTGAAACAAAGCCTTTTTTCTTTGAAAAAAGACACATAACCTGTAATAATGGAATTAAAGTCTATCAGAAGAACAATTCTAATGTATAATTCAATCAACCGATTGATGTTATTAATCCATGAATGATTATATATCAAGAGTAAAAGCAAGATGTTGACTGACCAATCAACTATTGTTTGTCAGTATAAGGTTGTGAAGATTATTGAATTTCATTGAAATTACTAATCGATCTTAGCAAGACAACCATTGAAAACCTTGAAACATAGGACGACCAATTCGTCCTACTATAGAACTGCTTAGCAGTGCTCATTCACGACTGTTCAATCGACAATTGAACCCTGAATTACAAAATCCCAAGCTTCATATAATTCTTAACGAATTTTGAACTGAATTTATGCAAAGAATATTTATCTTAAATAAACCTCATACTGAAATAGATCAGTGTTATACTGAACAAAGTATCATAATGAAAATAAAACAAATATTAGTCTCAGAAGGGGTTTTTGTGGAGATTTCAGTATTTTCATAGTTAAAAGTGTGAGTCAATTGAAGCTATACTAACCACGGAAAACCTGGAAACACTGGACGGCCGTTTCGTCCTATTGTGGGACTCCTCAGCATTGTGCATCCACGATCCCGCACCCACGAGATTTGAACGCAGGACCTATCAGTGTCGTACACTAGCGCTTAACAATTGTAATCTAATCGGATTATCACAGTTAGATTTAAAATGTTAACTGTTAACCAGAATAACTCACTTTACCTATCATTTCATATTAGAACGAATAGTTTAACAAACAATTGGGCGCCAAATATAAAGAAGTCATCATATATGAAATATATATGTATATATATTTATCTTTGAAATAATCTCATCCATTGAAATTTAAATAATAATTCCAATGTTTCGTCCAATAAACTTGTCTGAACTTCTTCAGTATAATAATCAAAATCAAAATCATAATCAACAACAACAAAATATCTAACATTGAACAATCATATTTATACTGTTCTAAATTAATCCTATTTAGATATAGACATTAGTAAATAGAATAATATGAGTTAATTAAATGTGAATACATGAATTGTGTGTGTGTGTGCATGTGTGTCAGATTGACTTATTAATAGTTGATATTCTATAATTAATTTGTTGCTATATAAAAAAGAAAAAATTTTTTGTTTCTCATTTATTGATTTACATATGAAAACACAAAAAAAAACAAAAACAAACAAACAATCAATTACATAATTTTCACATTGATAATTCATTGGAATATTACAATGTTATCTTGAATTTGTATTTGTGGATTTTGTTCCCACAAGTCAAAGGTAATACGTTGATTTTTCTTTACATTCATAACCTTGAAATAATGAAGGTCAAATAATTCATATCTATATTCGTAATAATAATAATAATTAATAGTAATAATTCAAATGAACTCCTCCTGTAGCTCTTCTAGAGTTACTGCCGGTTCCAATCTCATACAAAGGAGAAGGGTTGGGCATAAGGCTAGCGACCCTATCCCGTAAGAAAAACTAACTTGCTATCTTCAAGAAATGTGTTTTGAAGTTATAACAAGTGGAACTAGTCTACTTATCAGTGAAACCAATTCATATCAATAAGAATATTCATCTTTACAAGTTTTTCTTTTTTTTGAGAAAGATAATTCACTTAGCCAGTCTTTTCGCTGACATTCATAACATTCATATACTTCATCAAGTCGAATTAAAACTCTGAGGATATTTTATTTCTAATAAAAAATGACTATTTTCTAATTAAACAATAAATACACAAATTCAATAGACTGAAGTTAAGAATAAAGATTATAAAAATTCAGATAGTAATACAGAAGCATCTTGATTACTACAAGATTTGAAAGTGATGGATTTGATGTTTAGCCAGATACAACATCAAGGATCATATCTTTAAAGAAAAATGGAAATGAAATTGATTTTTCTTTACATTCATAATCTTGAAACAATTAAGGCCAAATAATTCATATTTATATTTATAATAATAATTAAAATTAACTCCTCCTGTAACTCTTCTAGAATTTTGGCCAGTTCGAAACCCAGATAAAAGAGAAGGGTTAAGCATGAGGTTAGCTATACAATCCCATAAGAAAAACTAACTGATTAAAAAAAACAATACGCTAACCATAAAAAAAAATATAATTCAAACGATTTTTAACTCTACCCTGGGTGGAGGGGGGTAACAGATATGACAACAACAACAAAAAAAAACAATGATTGAATAGCCTATACTCCTCTATAAATGATAACAAATATAAATAGATAATTTTAATTATTAACAAAATAATAAATTATCAATAAATGATTGATTAAATTGATGTTGAAATGTACCACTTATTGGTATATAAGTTTGTTCACGTTTTATAAATAATCTACAATTTTTCCATGGCATTGTATATTTACCCCATTGTATTTGATAACGTATTAATTGACATAAACCATATTGACGTATTATATGATATAAATGTCTTTCAATATAATCAAATATTTCATTATATTTATCAATAAACCATATTTCTTTAATTTTTTCTTTATCATTATATAAACGTGATTTTTTTAATATATAACCATATTTTTCTGTAATACATCTTGGTTCACCTAGGAATGGTCTTTCTAAACATTTTATAGTATCATTAGGACATAAATGTTTAATTAATATAGAATGATCGGTATAATTAAAATTACAAAATTCTGTTGAATAAATATTACGTCCAATAATTAATAATGCATTATTAGATTTATTATTAAATTGTTCTTCAATATAAAATGTACCATAATCTAAACGACTAAAATATCTTCCACCTTTAATTGTTTTAACATAGAAATTTGATTTCCATTTATTTGGTAAACAACATGGTTTAGAATTTTTATTCATTAACATTATAGTTTGTTGATCAAGATTACGTATACGACGTGGGGAATTTATATGACATGATGTATGAAATAAATTATTAGTTAGTTTAGTTAAATGAATAAAAATACTTTTAAATGTTGTTATAATTAAAATATAATAATAGAATTTTTTCATTTTATAAGATGAAGATTGTTCTATTGTGATTGAATCTCTCACTTTACGTTCATATAATTGAATAGATCCACACAAAAAAATAGGACGAAGAATGTTCTTTTCGATCGAGTCTCTCACTTCAGGTTCATACAATTGAATAGATTAAAAAAAAAATAGGACGAACAATGTTCTTTTCGATCGAATCTCTCACTTCAGGTTCATACAATTGAATAGATTCAAAAAAAAAATAGGACGAAGAATGTTCTTTTCGATCGAATCTCTCACTTCAGGTTCATACAATTGTATAGATCCACAAAAAAAATAGGACGAAGAATGTTCTTTTTGATTGAGTCTCTCTCTTCAGGTTCACACAATTGTATAGATCCAAAAAAATAGTATGAAAAATGTTCTTTTTGATTGAGTCTCTCTCTTCAGGTTCACACAATTGTGTAGATCCAAATCAATAATAAACCGAAGAAATTGATCAGGTTCAAGGTAACGTACATCATTTACAGTATGTCAATTTAGCATTGTCAAAAACAAAATAGAATAGAACGTTAACACTTAAATCTTTATATGTATGTGAAGTGGAAATATGTAAGATCTGGGATCAGAATAAGTATATATATATATGGGTCAGATAGGGGTGGGGTGAGAGAGATATGATAGTGTAATTATAATTCGATCAAATGGAAGACTAAATTCTTCATTATTACAAAATATTAAATAAATAATTAAATGGGGGATTTCATTTATATTACAAAATTATTGTATCCATCCATCCATCATGTTTGTTTAAGTATATTCTTTTAAAAATTACAATTACAAATACATTCATTCAGTCATTCAACTACACCTACATACTCTTTTTTTGTATTTTTAGAACTTCTCAAGGTCACACGGTTGAACTTGACTTTGACCAATCAAATAAATTATAAAATGAAATATGATAGGTTGGTTAAATACATCATATAGGCCAACAATCACTATAAATATTTAGATACTTTTTTTTTCTAACATTTCATATATTATTTCATAAGTTTGAAAAAATTTTATTCAATTAACTAAACATAATAATATTATGGGACTCCTCAGCAGTGCGCATCCACGATCCTGCCTCGCGAGATTCGAACCTAGAACCTATCAGCCTCGCGCCAGAACACTTTACTGAGAATAGGACAAAACGGTCGTCCAGTGCTTCCAGGTTTTCTACGATGGTCTAGCTTCAATTGACTCTTGATTACAACTATATATAAATAATAATATTAATTTTTAATGGTTGAGATCATGAATTAATTGAAGTTAGATCAGCATGGAAAACTAGTGACTGACTCCATGTGGTATTTCTTGGAGTTCTAGTGACAAGCAGTAACCAGTGGAGTTTAACTTGCTCTGTTGTGAGATATCAACTCACTGAAGACAATGGTGGATGTGTCGCTCAATTTCTTGGATTGATTGAAGTTAGACATTAACACCGTTGGATGCTGACTTGGTTGTCTGAAGGTTGAGCGTTCGCTTACGAGGCTGAAGGTTCTAAGTTCGAATCCCGCGAGTGGGATCGTGGATATGCACTGTTAAAGAGTCCCATACTAGGATGAAACGGCCGTTTAGATTTTCCATGGTGATCTAGCTTTAATCAACTCATGAATTCAACTACTAATTCACTATTATTTAAATAAATCTTTATAATTTATGATGCCAACCACTTTGAGGGTAGATATATAATTCGGTCAGTCGCTATCGATATGGTGAGCATCCATAAAATAAATGCCTACCATGGCTAGAAATGTTGGGTAATATGGGTATAAACTATTTTCAATGGCACTAATTCATCCTCTCTTCGCTTATTCCATAATTCAAAATTATTTCATACATTTTATACCTTCAGTTAATTGTTCCTTCTTAAGTTATATTCTCTTTATTCAGCGCCACTGAGACTACTACTACTACTACTATGGAATTTCATACCGTTACGGTAAAGTGATGTGAAAACTTGGGTTGATCCCAATATGTGTCAAGTTGTATGTTGCTCATTGAATTAAAAAAAAATAACCAAAAATGTAATTTATTTTTTTAAAAGTTTTTATAGAATTCTTTCATTTTGGTATTTAAGTGAATATTAGCTACGAAGTTTTGTTTATTTATTTGAACACATAAACATTGATGCAAAGGGGCACCAAATACATGTACAATAACAATCAAGCCAGTAGCAGCTATCATTGACATTTTCGAGGGTTGTGATACTGTCCGGGTGCGCAAATCTATTCAGGTGGTTTCCTTAGGGGGCCACGATTGTAGCCTTTGACCTAGAGGTCTGATCCACAAGGCAGTAGAGCAACGTAATGAAATGCAGTCCTATGGTAGACGGTGACTAACGATAGTTTCACACACCATTTATTCCCTTAGGATCCTGGAGCCCATGTTCACCATTCGTCTGAAATCAGGGTTTTCCAACTCATGTAGGTGGACGCTCCGTGTTCACCAGCCCGATTAAAGCCTCGGATACTTTCCTTTTGTCATCTTAATATCATAAACAACACCCCTGTCACGAGAAGGCGGTGAGTAGGAATTCTCTGGCAGTGGTTGTATGCACGTGTCTATGTGAAAGCATTTCGAGAGGAAGATCTGAAAAGTTCATACAACTTACAGTTTTTCAAATATCATTAAGAAATTTTAATAGATCTAAAAATAAGAGGATATTTATGAAATGTTTTCTATTTCTAATGTATCTATATATATGGATATTCTTTTTTCTAAACTAAGATTCTTATCTATGACAATGTGTTAATCATGTGACTGTTTTATCATCAGTAGTATATAACAAAAAAACATCTTATCATCAAAGTATCTATAACACGATTGTAGAAACTGTTAACCCAAATTCTAAATGAATTGAAACTTGTTCCTTTGCATTTTCATATAAAGTGCTCCGATGTTGTCTAAACTTTACGAAATACCGAATTGACATAAATCAATGTACTTCAATGTATATTTAAGGAATGTACACATAGTTAATTATCACTTAACTGGTATATAACCCCATGAATGCTTTTACAAATACCATAAAGGCACTCGAGAAAAGAAAAAAAAGAAGAAAACATTTTGATCAAACATAATTTTCTTTTATTAACACAGGTCTAATTTGTTTTACTATCTATGAACGTGTTTATTATGAATTAAACCTGTGAGGAAAAAAGAGAGTGAGATTCTATTTGATGTGTATATTGTCAACATTGATCGATCTATGAAAATTCATTATCATTATCATTATCATTATCATCATCATCATCATCATCATCATCATCATCATCATCATCATCATCATCATCATCATCATCATCATCATCATCATCATCATCATCATCATCATCATCATCATCATCATCATCATCATCATCATCATCATCATCATCATCATCATCATCATCATCATCATCATCATCATCATCATCATCATCATCATCATCATCATCATCATCATCATCATCATCATCATCATCATCATCATCATCATCATCATCATCATCATCATCATCATCATCATCATCATCATCATCATCATCATCATCATCATCATCACCATCATAATCATCATCAGTACATTTCAATGGATTCATCTATGAATATATCTTACTAGAAGTTGCTCTCTTTTCATTTTATGAATAGATTATCTAGAAAAATGAAGTTACGCAACATAATAATTTTCAAATGATATCATGAATCGATGAATGTTAGACATTCATTGACAAGAATTGGAAGCACTGGACGGCTGTTTCATCGTAATATGTAACTCATCAGTAGTGCGCATTCATGATCTCGCTTGAGGGACTAAAACCTAGGACATTCAGTCTGACGGGCGAACGCTTAACCTCTAGACCACTGAGCTGGCATCCAACGATAATGTGCGACCGTCCAGCATTGTCCTCAGTGAGTATTTGACTTTACAGAAGACACGGTTGAACTCGACTGGCCACAGCCTCTAATCGGAACTCCAGAAAACTCATCTTGAAGCCAATCATTAGTGAACACATGATACCAGTGCCTCTAGTTTTTCAATGGTGATCTAACATTCATCGACTTGTGATATCAATTGGAACTCAACAATCTTCATAAACCTATACTAATAAGCTTTTTTATTTCGACAGTGAATATAATAAGTAAATAGATGACACTGTTTCGTATTTTTAGCAGATTTTCTAATTTATTAGAACAAATCGTCGACATAGGTTTTATTCATATTAAATTGACTTTGTATCGTTTGCTTGTATCTTCACATTGTTGTTTAGGACTTCAATTGATCAATCTCTTATTGGCATATGTGCATCCTATGCCGACTGCCTCGATATTGGCTTGAGTGACAAGCTGAATAAGCAAAGATGAATAGTGGTAAGCAGTGGAATCCAGGACGCATGTTTCATCCTATTTTGGGACCCTAAGTGAACAACTCTGAGCTGTGAGTACATCCAACCGACGAGTTTCAAATAGGACGAAACACGCGTCCTGGATTCCACTGCTAGCCACTATCCATCTTTATTCATATTAAATTGGTTTATATATTTTGGTAAAATTTTTATCTACATTACTGTAATCCTATTAACAAGTCATCTAGATAAAACAGGAAAAAAACTTATACTATAATAATCTTTGATTACATAATTGTGTGTAGGCGTCTTAGTTACCAAATGGTTATTGTTTCAATTACCAGGTGTTCTGATGATTCATTTAACTGATATCAACTACTTGTATTTTTGTTCTAAATATCATATGCAGACTGTATCATTACATTGATCAATTCATTCTGCATTTATAATAGCTTTATTTGACTATGATGAAAGTGTACAAAACTATTGATACCAATTGGATAAGTGGTATTACTTAGTAACATAACACTACTTGGAAATATCTTATCTTATAGTCCGATGAGATGAAGCGTGGAATCACTTTTTTCAATTGAAAAGGATATTTATTCATTAATATTGTAGTGAATAAGAAGAAGACTGGGGGACAATAGAATGTATTTAAGCAAAAATTACAAACTATCTTACTAAGATCTGATAACCATACAGCAAACAGTTAATTTGCAAAATAACCATCAATTGTCTCAATCTTAACTGTTCCTTCTGCAAATATCAGTCCATCTTCTCTGATCTCATTGTTCATGCATTTTCATACCGATTGCGCTTCGTTTCTATATTTTTCTTATCGAACTTCTGCCAAAATGCATTCAATGCCGAACCATCATCATATACTACTTATGTGGATATAAGTAGACCCCACCACAATATCATAGATTTTATTTCGTAGACATATAATCTTCTTTCATCATCAATTTAATAAGATGCTAGTTCAGAACAATATACACTATTCGTTTGTATTTCACTCCGTGTAAAATCCACTACATTCAATTAGGGAGGATGTTTATTGACTGAATGTTAAACATCAGTAGAATCGATGTACAATTATTTTCGTGTTTTTTTTAAGTGAATAAAAGGTTCAACTGCCATCAGTTTTTTTCATCCAATTCCTTTCATAGATGGTCCGTATCGGATGATTGGGGTTCTACTCGAGTTATGCGGGAATGGTATGACCAACCAGCTAACGTCGAAGTCATACCTCATGGTTAATTCCTAACGTGGATAACCCTTTCGTTGTATTCCAGTACTATGGCTGTTTTGATGACCGTACAACACAAATGACGTTATAACAGAAATATAATAGTATAATTAGGTACAATGAACAGTGTGCGACCATGGTTGTACGGTTTAGTCCATGGGATGCAATTAACTGATGCGCATTGATTGTCCTTGGGCTTGACGAGGATAGGTGAACTGTTCGATTTTCAATGACCTGACTACTGGATGGTTATTATTTTATTATTATTATTCGCTTTATTCAATATTATATTTTTGGTGCAAAATAGAATTCTTAGAACAAAGTATTTCAATAAGTTTCCATTCCTTACTTCATTGTTGATCCTGATGATAAATATTGAGTGATCGCCAGTTAGAAGTTAGCAGTCCAGTCAATCGACATCTAAATAATGTACATTCTTTTCGCTTTATATTGCCAGCAACCACGATATCTCTGATTGGGTCTTGTGTTACTTGTCCAATGAGGGGTTGTACACTTTTCAGAAACGCACCTAAATAGGTGATGCGGTTAACAGCCATAATGATGCATTAAAGCAAAAAAAAATTAAATAGCAAGAACAAGTAGCTTAGAGGTTTAAACAGACTAGAGCCCAGTGACATTTCACTGGCTCCACAATACTAATTCACCACTATAAAGATAACTTGTTGAGCATAAAGCCTGTAAGTAGTAGATACGCAATGCTAGTATTGATGTTCAGTTCTTCACTTCATACTTTTCAACAATTATTTAGCTAAAGTCAGTTCATGGCATAATCTATTTTCAAAATAAAAAAAATCTCTACAAAAATCATTTCATAAAATAGATGAAAAATAGTAAATGAATAACTGGATACCAAACGAATAGACCTGAACATCACTTATAAAAAACATGGAACAGGTTACATCACTGTCAATTTATAAGACATTAAGCTTCATCGATTACAGCTTAGCAATTTTCTATCGAATTAATTCAATTCATAAAGAAATTGTAACCATGCATTCATTATCTAGGCAATAATCAAACTTGAGTATAATCTCAGAATGGGTTTTTGTGGATATTATAGTAATTTTAATAGTTGAAATTAAGCGTTCACGCGCGAGACCGATAAATCCTGGGTTCAAACATCGCGAGGCAGGATCGTAGATGCGCATTGCTGAGGAGTCCCATAATAAGACGAAATGGCCGTCTAGTGTTTCAAGGTTTTCCATGGTGGTCTAGCTTCAATTGACTCATGATTTCAACTATTAATTGTTTGAGATAACCCTACAATTTATTAATTTGTCTAAAATTTCAAACAAGCAAAAATATCTGTTAGAATAATTAATTAGTCTTTTCGGTGAGACCAGATAGCTTATGGACAATCTTTAAGCGATGACAAAAGTGATCTTGAGAATGTCTGACTATTAACTAGGACTAAATGGCAGTTTTAAAGCAGTTTGGTGAATTAGAGTTATGATTTACAATTGATGGTTAGGGTTAGGAAATAGATTTAGGGTTGTCATCACAAACTGAGGTCAGCTAAAATGTCAAAACTCTATTAAGCCTAATCGTTGAATAAATTTCCCTTCAAAATCCCAGATCTATTGTATTATATCTGATTGATTCATCCATCAATTATAATCTTTCCTAAATTAGTGATCAATGTTATAGTTTTTATCAAATCCTTCTTAAGAACTTATCCAATTCTATTGACCACTTTCAATGTAATCACTTGCCTAAATGACTTGATATTACCTTGAAATGTTAAGTGGTATCTTGTAGGATACCTACCATCACTTAATAGATAATCATGTATTTAAAAAACATCAAAAATGTTTACTAATTTTACAATCTACAAATTTCTGTAATTTCTGTAGTCCTGAGGCGAGATTGTGGATCCGCACTGCTGAGGAGTCTCACAATAGGAAGAAGCAGCCGTCAAGCAGTGCTTCTAGGTTTTCCACGATGGACTAGCTTCAATTGACTGCTGATTTCAACTATGAAAATACATTTAGAATATCTTATAAGAAACTTATTCAACTCCTATCTACCTCATCTATCATTCAATTAGATTTCCTGACATTTCGTAACTTAGTGTAAGCTACTTCTTCAGAGTAAATAGAATAACTAAATTGAAATTAATTCAAGTTTAAATAGCACATATGGTTTCTTTCTAATTCTATTCCATATAAGGATAATTTCTTACATATATATGTTTTTGTTTTTCTTTTCACCAGGAAAATAAAAAAAAAACATGATTCGAGTGTAGCTTATCATGAAACCAAGGTGTTATGATTGATTTCCTCTCCCTTATTATTATTATTACCATTACTATTATTAATACTATTGTTATTATTACTATTATTAGTATTATTATTATCAGTAGTAGTAGTAGTAGTGGTAGTAGTAGTAGTAGGTTCATATGTGGAGAAAGGGAAATATTTTTTTCCGGAAAAAAATTTTTAAAAAATGGTTTATTTCATATTGACGGAATTATCTCTGTATAAATCTGATTTAAGAAAAAACAATTAAGAAAATAAAATTCTAGGAGAATCTCACAAATTGTGTATAGTAACTGTTATTCTGTTGGGTTTAATGATGGTGATTGTTATAACTTGTGAGTGCATGCGTGCCCTATTTAATATATGGGAAGTGCTGATTTCCGTCAATAAGAGAGGAGTGAATTATCGATCGGATCAATAATACACAAAAGCCGTATGAGCAGTCTTAAGTAATTATCAGTCCTGCTTTCTGCCTACACCAGACAGTTATGTCCAGAATACCAATAACAACCTCTACAATATGAATCAGTATTCTCAAACCTAATGGGTTTATATAACAAACGAACTGACCATATCGTACCATAAATTAGAAAATAACATTTGTACAAGATTTAGTCAAATGTGGCTATGAATGTGGGGAACATTAATCAATAGACTGGGGATAATTCGGGAATGGTAAATTGTATAGAAATAGTTCATGGGTCAAAATAAAGCTTATAATTAGA